ATTAGATCTGCAGGAAATTTCTTGCCTGCATCTATGGGACCCCGAGTAGCACAGAAAATATGGGACAGGGTGGCGTACTCCTGCTCCCACGGCAGACGTCACTGATCGGTCGTGGCCCTTGCCCAGGGAGGCCAGAGACAGCCTTACTATCCTTCTAGCATGTGCTCAGGGCCACCGTTACCAGTGCTGTGCCCGCACCGGGCCTGAGGGTCTTCCCGGTCTCCCCAGCTACTGGGGAGGTACTGGGGGCCACGAGGCAGCCGAGAGCCGCAGGGGTGACAGAGGCGGGCCTGTCCCGCATGCACTGCAGACATGTTTGCTGCAAAAGCCCTCGGGGTGCCCGCTGCGGTGACCCATCAGGATAAATGCGTTGGAAAGGACACAGGGACACACTAGCAGTGTCTCACTCGCTACAGCCACTCATTTGTTCCTCAGATGTTTAGCAAACACCCGTTGTTTGCCTAGAAAGTGTGCCTGCCCACTGTCCTCTCCCTTCTGGTGTTGAGACGCCCTCCTGACTCTTCCTCTACCTCAGAGCTCACGAACCATGCGCTTTTCTCCCAGAGCCCCCGTCCCAACTGGTACTGATGCACTGATCTGTGTGGGTTTGCTTAGTGGCTACATTGGCCTCCAAGGCGGCAGGGACAGTGTGCGTCCTGCTCACGCGCCATCCCAGCCCAGGTTTGGCACGTCGTAGGTGCCCAGTACATAACTGAGGCATGGATGAGTGGAAGGACAAAGATGAAGCAGGTGCAGGCTTTGCCCAGTGGAAGTAGACAACAACGAAGACCAGCAGAAGGCAGCAGATGCTCAGCGCTGGGAGGGGGGCAGGGGACAGTGAGGATCTAAAAGATCTCAGGGGAGCAGACACTGCTTTCAGAGGGGACGGGGAGATCAAGGAAGGCTTCCCGGTGTGGCACCACTTGCTGGGTCTACAAGGATGAGGTGGAGGGGAGGGTCATCCGAGGCCCCGGTGGGGGGGGGGGCGGGAGCTGAAACGCAGAGGCAGCGCTGTGGGAGGGAAGGGCCAGGATTACTTTGGGGTGCTGTTAGGGCAGAGGCGGGGAGCCAGCTGCTGGAGCGGTGCCCACAGGCTTACTAGGGCAGCAGAGGGGGTGGCCACAGGTTTGTGGGTGGAGCAGGGATGGGGTGGGAGGGACCTCAGGCAGGCAGGGGCAGGCAGGAGGAGAGCTGGGGAAATCAGACCCAAGTCTGACCTGGGAGTGGTGGAGGCAGTATGTGGGGAGACCGGGAAGGCCTTTGTTCTTCAGTCTCGGTTTACATCCTGCTTCTCCTGTGCCTGTCAACTCTTGGGGACCACCCTCTGGCAGGCTCTGCCCGCCCCGCCCCCCCCGCCCCACCCCAGGCCCCAGCTCAGCCCTGACCATGCCTGCTGCCCCTGCTGGCCTGGCCAGCTCTCCGGAGGGGCTTTGTGCAGCTAGTTCAGTGCATGACACTGTTGCCAACACATGTCCGATTTTATTTTACTTATTTCTTTTAAAGTTTTTTTTAATTGTTCATTTGAGAGAGAGCGTGTGAGTGAAAGCATGAGCAGGGGGGAGGGGCAGAGGGATAGGGAGAGGCAGACGCTTAATGACTGAGCCACAGGCACCCCCCACATTTCCAATTTTAAAATAGAATATGTATTGATCATATTTGTAGTATGTTTTCTTGAACATGGCTTTTTAAAATGCTTTTATTGGGGCGCCTGGGTGGCTCAGTCGTTAAGCGTCTGCCTTCGGCTCAAGTCATGATCCCAGGGACCTGGGATCGAGCCCCGCATCGGGCTCCCTGCTCAGTGGGGAGCCTGCTTCTCCCTCTCCTGCTCCCCCTGCTTGTGTTCCCTCTCTTGCTGTGTCTCTCTCTGTCAAATAAATAAATAAAATCTTTTAAAAAATAAAAGTAAAATGCTTCTATTTTCCAGGAACAGATTTATTGTCCTAATTTCCCTCCTCTAGCTTTTTAAGGTGTTTTTCAGTCACTTACATAGGGAATTTCTGTTTCCCATTTATATTAAGTATCAAATTACTCTCTTTCATGTACGAGTCACATAGTTTATCCCTTACGGCCTCCTTCTTGAAAATCTTACATATGGATTCATTAAACAGTTTGGTTGCTACTTTCACGTTCAAACCCGGTCGGCGAGGTTTTGACTGGAGAGTGAGGCGACGTGGCAGTGACGGGGCCTTTTTGCTTTTGACTTCTGCATCATAGGATGATGCTGGATTGAGAGAGGCCAGAGGATGCACATACTCCCCGCATGTCAGTGTGGAAGGTTCTTGAGTCAGCATGCAAGATTTCCTTGCCATGTTCCTTCTGGTCGCACTGGTCTGGAAGACGGGCAAACCTGGGGTGGTTGGGAGTGGACAGTGGAGCCCGAGTGTGGAGCCTGGCAGACGAGTCAGGGTCTGGGATGATCTGGAACAGCCTCCCGTATCCCTGGGGCATGAAGAGTGGGTGAACCTCCTGTAGTGGTTTGGGTGGATGCCGAGGGAACGGGTCACTCGTGGGGACAGATGGGAAGGCTGCTATACCATCCAGGGGCCATGGAGGAAGCCCACGGTGGAGGGAGCTCCCTCTGGGCATGTAGCTGCTGCAAAGGGCCCAAGTGGGCCTGGGAATGAGCACTGGACATTTCAAAGGGAAGCAGCCACCGCCCTGGCGTCTCCAGGCCAGATTCCTGCTGGCACAGCCCTCCACAGGGACAGGGAGCTCTGGAGCAGGAAGCTCCCTTATAGTGCGTTTCAGTTAACATGGCAAGCTCACGCAAATTAGTATATGTGTTTTCCGCTCCTTCCCATTCCTGGAGAGGTGCCTTACTCAGGACTCTTGATTACAACTGACAAAGACCCAACTTAAGCTAGCTTGAGCAAAAAGGAGACTCTGTGGACCTGGTAACTTGGGAATCAAAGTAGTGGTTCAGGCATGGCTGGATCCAGCGACTGACAGTGCCTTCTGGGTTATTTACCTCCATCTCTCAGCTCAGCTTGTTTTCATCCTCAGGCCAATGGCCTTCCAAGCCAACATTGTCCTCACAGCTTACCTCACAGGGAGAGAGTGGTGAGAACCCTGGGGGAGGACCCACACGCCCTCCCATTGCTGAGCCAGTCACTGTGCTCAGGGGCTGGGGATATTCTAGTGGGTTGACCCCAGCCACATTCACCCTAAGGGGGGAATGTGGGGCCATGTAGTATCTGCTCCTCACCCTAACAAGGACTTGTGGGCATGATTTCCTTGGTCTGGAGGAGGACTCATTCTCAGAGACAGGAACGCTGGACAGATGAAACGTGTGGCCGGGCCAGCCTCTGTGCGGGCCCTCAGCTGTCTGGAGTCTGTGTAGCGGCGTGGGAGCATGTCTGTTGCTCTTGGGAGGAATATGCCCGCTCAGGCCTCTTCACATCCTCGAGTCTGGTTCATCCAAGCGGGCCTTCTGCAGGCAGCAAGCTGCTAGGGGCGCGTGGAGACCAACCTCTCGCCACTGTGTTTGTCCCAGGGCTTTGCCCAAGACCGGCTCTCGTTACGGACACCATTTCCTGTGGCCTTTGGGTCTCCGGTCCTGGGATTCACAGATCTGGCTCTCATGTCTGCGTTTGGCCCTGTCCCTTTTGAGGTTTGAATCTCCTTCCTGGATCTTGACTTGGCTCTAAGGCTTGGCTTGATTTTGGTGGCGCCGGTACTTCCCAGCTGGTGGTCCTGCCAGGGGAAGGGCAGGTGGCCGGGCTGTACCTGGCAAGGAGGTACCTGTCCTTCACTTTCCCTGACCTCAGCGCCCACCCTCAGGCTGAAGGACCAGCTGGCTCCCAGCATACCTGGGGATGTGGCGGCTGCTCTCCACAAACTCAGAGACGACTCTGTGCCATCCCCCTGTGTGATGCCGCCAGTGTCACACATCAGCGCTCCTCAGCATTGTTAGCTACGGGAGCTTTCCTTGAAATGAAACCTTCCCTGAAAGTCCAATAGAGGAAGCAGACAAGAGCCATGTTGCGCAGGGTTGGGTTGGAACATACTCACTGTATTCCCTCCAACCTCTGTCAGCAGCCCTGAAGAGATGATATGACACCCCCGGGCTCCTTGGAACCCTGTTTAAGAACCTCTTTGTGATGCTGTCCATCCATCCCTTTCAGTGGCATCTGCTGTTTTCTTATCACGACAGACTTTTTTCTGTCGTTAACTCGTTTCCACTATGAAAGGTCAGAAGGGAGATCCTTGTCATCTTCCCACTTTAGGCGGGTGTCAGCGTGTAACGGTCCCTGGCTCCGCAGGGGCTCGCTCCGTTTCCTTGTCCTCCTCGAGCTACATTTGGGAGGCCATTCCACTTATGGCATTGGTCAAGTTATCTGTTTCTCAGTTTACCTTTTTTTTGGAGAACCACACCCATACTTATGCTGATGTCTCATGCATGACTACTATCTAGAATGAATTTTTTTTTAAAGATTTTATTTGTTTATTTGACAGAGCACAAGCAGGGGGAGCAGCAGAAGGAGAGGGAGAAGCAGACTCCCCACTGAGCAGGGGGCCCGACATGGGGCTCGATCCCAGGACCCCGGGGTCATGACCCGAGCTGAAGGTAGCCGCTTAACGACTGAGCCACCCAGGCGCCCCTAGAATGAATATTTTTTTTATACCTTTCCATGAAAGGTACCCCTTCTAACAAAAAAATCCTTGAAATTCATAAAAGTGACCAGACTACAAAAATAATACCAAAAAGATTATAAACATTCCCAAAGGAGGCCTCCCTCTAATAGGAAGTGTCCCGAGTCTGTTCAGTTGTAGAAAAGACTGTGTTGTCAGGGAAATTGGTCACCAGCACATTGGCCGTGGGCTGCCTTTGTCCAGGCTTCAGTCCACCAGGGAGAATCCAGGCCTTGGTTTGGCTCCAGCTGAGGCCTGCCCGTGGCTGCCACTTATTGACTTAAGTCTGAGTGATTCAGATCTTCCTCAGGGTCGCCCCTGACAACACGTGGTGGGAGGGAGAGTGACCTCCTGTCTGGGGTGCCACCACCAGGCCCGGCGAAGCCCCTCGGTTCCTGGTAGGTGTTTCGGGGTCTCTGGCTCTGAGGGGACAGGAAGAAGACTTTTATATTTCCTGGAGCCAAGGGCTCAGCTCATACAGGGGTTTTCACAGAACTCTTGCTAAGTCCCAGGGCAGGGTGTGTGTGTCTAGGCCTCTAGAGTGTGGGTTAATGGTTAATTGGAGACTTGCTTTTCCGGGTTGGGGCTGCCCAGGTCCTGCTGCTCTGGGGGAAGAGGCAGCAAGGGTTCCCACCACCCAACCCAGCGGCGCTGCTGTGGCAGTCCCAGTCTGTACCATTGTCCGAGAGACCCAGCGGACAGGGATTGATTTGGGGGTGGTGGGCCGAGAGGATGTGTGTTTTGGTAGAAAGTGTGTTTTGAGCAGCAGCAGGCCTGGGGCCGGGCGGAGAATGGGACCCATTACTACAACTGAGCTAATTGAAACTTTCGGTTGGATAAAATATTTTTATTGCACATCATGCTGTCCATAGGCACCAGGAAAGAGGCAGCAGGATCTTTGCCCCCGAAGTGCTCACGTTTGGGGTCAACCAGGACAGGCCTAGAATAAGTCCCCAGATAACTGTGTGATGGGGCCAGAAAAACCAAGGGCCCCGAGAGGCAAAAATAAACTGCCAAGGCAGCATTTCTTAGGGTGTGATTTTAAGTATACAGTAATATTAAGTATGTTATACAGATGAGCATTTAAAACACTTGATGAACTGTGTATTTATTTTCATGTCTGTTAGAATATAACTTTGTTTTCTTCAGTTGCCTTCTGTTTATGGCAAATGATATAGTTTCCTTTTTTTTTTAAGATTTATTTATTTATTTTAGAGAGCATGTGTGCACAAGTTGAGGGGAGGGCCAGAGGGAGAAGGAGAGAGAGAATCTAAGCAGACTCCACCCACGCTCGGCTCAGAGCTCGATCTCATGACACTGAGATCATGACCTGAGCCGAAATCAAGAGTCGGACACTCAACCGACTAAGCCACGCAGGTGCCCTGATACGGTTTTCTATCTATGGTGGAGATACAGAGTTCCCTTTGAAAATAAGTGTAAGTGAAAGAGTGAGTTGATTTTAAGGAAAATATTAAGTAAAGACTAGCATGGGGGGGCCACGTGGGGAGAGCAGGTGGTGTGAAATGCCTGAGGTTTGGGAACAGGGTGCTAGAGGGATTCGGAGGCCAGGAAGAGAAAGGGCTTTCAGGAGAGTCAGGTGGGGTGGTGGAGGAATAGGATCCAGCTAGGACGAATCCGTACTCACAGGTCCAGAAATGTGTGTGCAAATCTGGGTAGAATCCATTTCATTATGAGCCCTGTGGGGACTGGAGGGTGGGTTTGGATTATACTGGAGAGAACTATAAATCCCAGGGTGCAGTGTCTGAACTTCATTCAGGGGGCAGTGGGAGACATTGAAGGTGCTTGTGGGAGGAGAGTGGTTCATGACTGCCCTTGAAGAGACTCACTTATAATAGGTACCAGAACTAGAGGTAGTATGACCAGTCAGGGACCTAAGTAAAGAGAGTGTAAGAGGCCAAACTAGGGCCATGGCTGAGGGCAAGCTGCCCAGCTCCCCAGCTTGTCTGCTGCTGTTTCTGGCCGGCAGCCTGGAGAAGCTGGAGAAAGGCGGTTGTAGGGTGGACAAACCAAGGCTTGGTCTCTGGGGGGTGGGGCGGGGTGGGGCAGTGGGAACCAGGCAAAGGTGCAGGTCAGCAGTCGTGCACAGAGAGGCCTGGAAGGGGGGGTTCTGCCCACCCCTCCCAGTTGGTCCCGGTGGCCTCTTCTTGCTCTCTCCTGGCTGAGCATGGAATGTTCTGGAGGAAACGGGTGGGGACAGCTGAAGGAAGCTCCTCTCCAGCCAGAGCACTGAGTTCCTGCAGGAGAAGGAAGCCCGCACTTTCCTGCCCTCCCGCTTGGCCCAGGCAGCCTGGCTGACAGCCCCAGGCAAGGATTTCATTCATCAGCAGAGCCTGCAGTCATCTGGGCCAATTGTCTTATTTAACTCTCCCATGTCTTCCTTCTGGTGCACTTTGCAGAGAAGTTCACCAGGAGTTCAGAGACCAGCTTGGTTTAAAAAGCAAGGGTTTTTGTTTTCCCCCTTGAGGACCTACTATGTTCCAGGCACTGTGTTTGGAACTTTGACTCTGTTAATGAGAGTTCATCCTGAGCAAAACCTGTCGAGGAAAGGATTATTACCTCCTTGGTGCAAAGGAGGGAACAGAGTGTGGGGAAACTGAGCTCGTCCCGAATTACACAGGCCGTTGACTGCAGAGCCTGCTTCCGTACACTTGCCGGTGTTGTCTGTAGGAGTGAGACTGTGGGCAGGGTCTGTAACTTGGGAGAAGCCGGTCATTGTCTGTGGTGGGGGCAGCCCACAGCGGCGTGCTGGGTGCATCTGAAGTCCAAGGGCGCTGCCGTGGGGATTTTGTGAGTTACGATACAGCAAAGGTGACATACAGGTATTAGCTGCTGCTACTATGATTACAGAAAACTGGAGTTTATGTAATCCCGAACATCAATTTTGCTGGGAGACATTTTGGGGACAGTATCACTTAGGGTGAGGGAGAAACATTGTTTTAATTTTAAAATAATGAATATATATGGCCTAGCATGGGGATTTGGCATCAGATGGTTCACCTTTGGGCTGGCTGTTCCTGGCCACACTCCCTGACCTTGGATGGCAGGGCATGGCAGGGGCCTGGGAGGGGGGCGTATGGTCTGTGTTCATTCTCCTCTATCATTAGCCTTACTTAGGTGAAAGCCTGAGAATCAAGGCGCACTTTGCTGTTTTCATGGGCTCCTAGGAGGTCCCAGGATCTCACCTGCTCTGAGTTGGTGCCTGGGAGCTGCATGTCCTAAATGCCTGTGATCTTAAGTAGCTATCCTCTGAATAACTTTCCAGCTCTGAAATTCAGAGAGGCCTCTTCCTTTCTGGCAGTCCTACCAGGATGACCCTCTTCCTGGAATGCCCGCTTCATGCGTGCCAAGTCCCTGCTTTTTGCTTTCAGCTCTCCACCAGACTCTTCTCTCTGAGGCCCTCCGGGATTGCCGCAGAGAACAACTCTAACTGCGCCTGCTCTTTGCTCTCACTGTTCTTTGTGCGGCCCCAGCATTTATTAGAGTCATTGTCTCATTCACCCGGGATTCATCCTGCTGCACGTGCAGCCCCGCACTGGGTATTTGCAGCAAACAAAACAGAGGTGGCCCCTCTCCCCAAGGATCTTACAGAGATTAACAAAGAAAGAAAGAAATGCACAGGTTCAAATTATGATACAGGCGGCGAAGAAAAAGAATTAGGAGCTAGCATCTGTCAACCTTGCAGGCTTCTGCAATAGGCTGTGTCCCTATGTGGTGGGGACGCAGAAGACGTTCGTGGAATAAAGGCACGAACAGTACGTGATTGATTTCCTAGTTTGTGATCGGGGATGATATCAAATCGTTAACTGACACAAAAACATTCTGAAGGGGCCGACATGTTCTACAAATTTAATTTTAATCCTAGTAGCAGTGTTGCAAGATTCTTTACCACTGATGAAGATCGGGGTGTAGTATTTTTTTTTCTCTATAGAAGAAAATTAAAATTTTTTCCCATTGCATTAGTAGCATTTGACTTTTAACGGTTTTTTAAGTTTTCAGAAAAAATTGAACAAAGCCAACGGAAGGTTCACACATATCCCCTTACTGCCCCCAGTTTCCCATTATTAACCTCTTGCATTGATATGGTACATTTGTTACAATTGATGAGCTGGTATTGATACATAATTCTTAACTATAAGTCTATAATTTACATTTAGGGGTCACTCTTGGTGTTGTATCTTGGGTTTGGACAAATGTAGAATGACACATGTGAGTGCATCCACCATTACAGTGTCCTATAATAGTTTCACTGCCCTAAAAATCCCCTATGTTCTACCTGTTCATCCTTTCTTCTCTCCCTGAAGACCTCTGATCTTTTTACTGACTCCATACCTTTGCCTTTTCCAGAATGTCATAGAGTTGGAATCATACAGCATGTAGCCTTTTCAGATTGGCTTCTTTCATTTAGCAGTATGCTTTTAAGTTTCCCCCATGTCTTTTCATGGTTTAAGCTCATTTTTATTACTGAATTTTATTCCACTGTATGGATGTACCACAGTGTATTTATCTGTTCACCTATTGAAGGACATGTTAGTTGCTCCCAAGTCTGGGCAATAATGAATAAAATGGGTATAAATATTAGTGTGCCATTTTGTGTGTGGATATACGTTTTCATTTCTTTGGGTAAATACCAAGGAATATAATAGCGGAGTCATATGGTAAGAGGATATTGAGTTTTGTAAAGTATAGCCTTCCAAGAAACTGGACAATTTTGCAGTGAATAAGAGTTCCTGGGGCACCAGGTGTCTCAGTCAGTTAAGCACCCGACTCTTGATTTTGGCTCAGGTCATGATCTCAGGGTTGTGAGATCGAGCCCCGTATCAGGCGCTGCCCTCAGCGCGGAGTCGGCTTGCCCCTCTCCCTCTGCTCCTCCCCCTGGTCCTGCGTGCGTGCGCTCTCAAATAAATAAATAAAATCTTAAAAAAAAAAAAGTTCCTGTCACACTGCATCCTTGTCAGCATTTGGTGTTGTCAGTGTTCTGGATTTTGGCCATTTTAATAGGTGTGTAGTGGTATCTCATTGTCTTAATTTGTGATTCCTTAAGGACATGATGTTGAGCATCTTATGCTAATATTTGCCATTTGTGTATCTTCTTTGATGAGATGTCTGTTCAGATATTTTTTTTTTTTTAAAGATTTTATTTATTTATTTGACAGAGAGAGAGACAGCGAGAGAGGGAACACAAGCAGGGGGAGTGGGAAAGGGAGAAGCAGGCTTCCCGCCGAGCAGGGAGCCCGATGCGGGGCTCGATCCCAGGACCCTGAGATCATGACCTGAGCCGAAGGCAGTTGCCCAACCAACTGAGCCACCCAGGCGCCCCGTCTGTTCAGATCTTTTGCCCATTTTTTCACTGGGTTGTTTTCTTATTTTGGAAAAAAAT